GATAATATGAGTGCTACAAAAGAAAAAACATCATGTAATAAGAATTACAGGTTTCTCTTTGCAGCACTCATAGTATGTATAGCATACAATATAAATCAAATAATATAGACCTAAAAATCAGTACTCAAATTATCATTTTACATGCATATTTATTCACAAGTTACAAAAATCCAGAATTTCAAAGCTTGATAATCACTCAATAGAGGGTATTTATTAACTATAATTGAGCGCTAGTAATAAAATAGGCTAAAAAAATAGATCGCATCTTTTCACGAAGTTATCCTGATTGGCTGAAATTTGAGATTAACATTTCATATAATAGATTTTCATTATAATGATTACTTCAAACCATTTCGACTAATCGAAATAATCGAACACTAGCCAGTCACATTGAGGAAGCTGCTTGAAAACAGCTTAAATCATGAATTTTCATGAAGATAAAAATGAACAAAAATTACAAAATGTGCCTTGATCTATATTAGGGGCACTAATTTAAAGTTACAATACCTGCCCTAATTCAAGTTTCTAACCTTAATTTAACTCGCTTTACTTTATCTCTCCATTTACAGTAGAGAATGATAGCTGGCTCTTATTAAGTACTTTATATGAATATCAAAATAAAAATGTGTCATTAATGAAATAATTACCGGGCAGCTTGTGCCGAAATTTTGATCTCTGTTTTAATAAATTCACATTAATTCTTGGATTAGTAATACTAATCTAAATCTTAACCTTAAAAAAAAAGAAAAAAAATCAAAAATTCCTAAAATTTCTTATTAAAGTATTCTAAAATTCATATTAAAATAAAAATTTCAGCCATAATTACTTTATTAAAAAAATCAAAAATAAATAAATAAATAAAAATAAACATACAATTCAAAAAATCTTCAAAATGGATCATTTCATCTTTGCCCATTAAAATTTCTAATCCAAAATTAGATGATGACGAAACCTGTAGATGCTGTTTTTAAGTAAATTAGAGCGTTGAGATTAACTTATAAGAATAAGATTATTTACTTTGGCCAAAATACTCCATTCCATGAGATGCCTTAAAGGGGCATGAATGCTATAGATTCTTCGTTGCAATGTAAGTTTTAGATTTGTTTCGTCCCACTATTATATAATATCAGAATTTAAATGGTTAACCTACATTGATTAACCAAAACTTTATTTAATAAGAAATAATTTTGAACCTGGTTAAACCTATTTTTGAGAGGATAAATGGTTAAAATCTTGGTTGCTGTAGAATCAGAGTTCACAGTAGTTTTAGTAGGTTCCTGTAGATGTAATAAGGTTAGCTAATTCATGTAATTAACAATAAGTATATATATTAAACTTTAAGAACTTTAAGAAAAAAAAAAAACTTTAAGCTTTCGTACCATTTAGATTATTGAAAGAGCGGATAAAATTAATAACCACGTTAATTGAATTCATCTAGCCAATAAATCCATTTTGATGTGCGAATTAATTGGTCAGATATAATGATCTATAAAATATGACTATCATTATAAGAATAGAACTATCAATAAAATGATAAACTACGTGCAAGCGGATAGTAAAGAAAATTTGGCATTAATAAATATCCTGATCAAATGGTCATTTATAATCCTTCAATATATGTAAATTATTTAATTAAATACTAATCTTTTAATGACTACAGAGTTTAGAAATTTAATTAAATAATTTACATAGCTCTATAGGGTTATACTTATCTGTTCTATCAATAGACATATTATTGTTCTATAAATAAGGCTAAAAAACAAATAATTGGCTTTATATAGTTAAATTCATTTTTAGTTCTAATATAGTGTAAGTTTTAATTAGTAAAACTTCATGTGCTAATATGAATAAAAGGTCTTATCTTTTTGAACCAAAAAGAAAAATATAAACTTTGATTAAAAAAAAACTATTACATAACTAGAACATCTTATATAGTCATCATATTATATAAACTCTTATATTAGCATTTAATATATAGGATATATAAAGGATGCTAATTACTTATTCTCATTTTATTAATATTTCTTAAGTGAATTAAAAATTTCTTTTGCCCGCCTCTTAAGAATTAATACCTCCTCTACTTCCTCATCATTGCTAATATCTTCAGAAGCAATATGATAAACAACATGTGAAGCTTCAACATGAGAAAAAATATAAAATTGATAATCACACAATGCTGAAAAAATTGCATCATTAACATGAAAAAAATTTTTCAAAGATATATAAAAAAGAGATTTGAGGTCTAAAATAGGTGTATCAATATATGAATGCATTGAAATATCCCACTCATATATATCAATAATTTGAGCAACACAAAATGTGTTATCAAATTTAGCTATTACAAAAGATCTAATTTGTAGTAAAAAGATGGCTATATTGTTATACAAATAATGTCTTAAAAAACATAAAGATTAAAATTAAAAATTCATAAATAATTTTTAAAAATTGATAGATAAGTTATCTGAAGTATTTTTTGCCCTAACTATGCTGTTACTAGTATTTTCATCTAATTTCCATCGATTTTCTCGTGATTTAGTTGAAACAGAATTATCCCTTGTCAATTGAGATACTAAACTACTAGCTTTATTAATATTAAATTCATTTGAACTATTATTTTCATTACTAGTTTTAAAAAGGAACTTAATT